TTACAATTTCAGTCCCAATTTGCGCATGTTCTAAAACTACAAATGACAAAGCCCTTCGACGGGAAGGACTTCTTTACCTGGTCGTTCGAATTCGGGCTGATGATGGAAGGAGCGCAGATACTTGGCTTCTTCGACGGGTCCCTGCCATATCCAACAAACGGCACACAGTATGAGAAGCAGCAGTACACCTATCAATCGATGATGGCGTACACGTTCTACTGAGGAACATCACCCCGACTCAACAGCAGAACATAAGGACTTACCGAGGTTACGGCAACTCCGCGGAGCTTGCGTACAACCACTTGAAGAACCTGTATCAAGCAACAGACAGCGTAAACCAAAGCCGGTTAATGGCGCAGTTGACAACAATCGAAATGAAACTAGGCGAGAAGGGAATGGCGTATATCAGTCGCTGCCGCGAGCTGCGCGACAAGCTTCTTCGATATGGAGGATCGATTTCAGAAGACGCCTTCGTCACGGTCGTCATCGGCGGTCTTGGCCCTCACTGGCGCTCCACTCGCGCCATACTACAAGCACACTGGAGAATCTCCGAAGCAGCACTCTGCGCCGAAATTTATGCCAAGCAGCAAGACATGGATCTGCAAGAAGAACAACATAAGAAGAAAACGTCAGTACCAGAGTTCGCGTTTCACACCCAACGACACTAGAACAACAACAACAGTCGACAGCAACAACAACTGAAGCCAGTACCTCCATTTTGCTATATCTGCAAGACTTCAGGGCATCCTTGTACGCACTGCCCATATTGTCAGCAATCGACAACACCACAGCGACAACTTCGACCTTCAAGCAGCCAAGTCACTTCAACGCAAGCAACCCCGACAGCTTCAGTCCAAGCTTCAATAACTCCAACATGACAACCTGCACAGAAAGCAAGAAACATCGTCAACTGCATGGTAAAGAGAACAGATTCTTGCACAACCGAGTCACCACCATACTACTCACCAGAAGAACAACTCGACAACAGCACGCCTCGCCGCGAGTCACTTCAACCGAACCCGACGTACGCCGCCATTGCTCAAAGCGAACCGTCCGGGAAAGACACATGGTTCTTGGACAGTTGCTGCGGACAGCACATGTGCTCTTCGGGACGCTTCGTCCAACGCAAACACCGACTTCGACGAGAGGTCGTCATCACTGTCGCCAACAACCAGAACCTGCGCACACGACGACAAGGAGTAGTACAACTTCAGTCACGAGAGACAAATGTCATACTGCATATGTCGAAGGTACTAATCGCGGAGGGACTCGGCTACAACTTACTGAGCGTCAGCCAGCTGATGTCGAAGGGCATTCACCTGGAAGCCGACAGCACCACCCAGGAGTTCAAATTGTACCACGGGAAGGGCGGCCTCTACATCGGAAAGGCGGTTCTGAAGAACAACATCTTTGTCCTCGACTTCGTCCCAGACCTGGGCACCGCAGAAAGCGACGCCATCGTGAACTTCGCCGACTGGACGCACTCTCCAGATCTTGATCCAGAATTCAGCCCGGAAGGCTTCTGGTACTCGCACACCATCCCTGAAACAGAAAGAACACGCGCATTAGCAACAATTCAACATTCGGCACCAGCAGAAATAACATCGGCAGCAGCAGAAACATCATCGGCAGCAGCAGAGACAACATCGGCAGCAGCAGAAACAACATCGGCAGCAGCAGAAACATCATCGGCAGCAGCAAAGACAACATCGGGAGCAGTAGCAGGACCAACAACACCAGTCCTCGTCAACGAAGAACCACCAACACCCGCACAGCAGCTGAAACCAACTCAACGAGAAGTCCACAGAAGCGCAAACTCCGTCGCCAGCTTCTACTCCAACTCCGACGCGTATCGACGCTCACCCGGACATCGCGCCTCCGAAGACATCTGGCACGCACGCATGGGACATCCAAGCAACACCGTATTCAATAATACAATAAGAGCAGGAGTCCTAGACAAGGACTCATTACTATTACCCGACGGCAGAGAACTTCAACGGGCACGAGGAACTTGCCTTACCTGCCCCGAAGCCGACTTACCACATCGACCGTTTACTCCTCATCACAATCCGAGCGCACCCGCGTACGCACCACTCGAGAAGGTGTACAGCGATATTCTCTTCAATCGAGAACCAGGACAAGTTACCTACAACTACACGATTACCTTTATTGACGCCGCCACTCGATAGGTCTGGCATCTAAATCTACAGCCGCAACATGGCACTCGCAGCATTCGCCGCCTGGCTACCAGTAGCACAGAGAGAGTCGGGAGCACAGCTGAAAAGCTTCCAGTCCGACGGAGGAGGGGAATACACCTCTCAGCGGTTCAAGCAGTACCTGGCAGAAAGAGGAATCAAGCAACTCCTCTCCCTTCCCTACGCCCATCAGCAGCAAGGTGTCGCAGAAAGAATGAACAAGACTCTGCAGAACAGCATGCGCAAACTGCTACGTGGCATGCGGCTACCCAACCACCAGTGGCCTGCAGCAATGGACCATGCTGTCATGCTGCACAACTTGATGTTGTCGTCCTCACTTCCGAACAACGCATCACCGCATCTGCTGTGGACAGGGAAGCAGGGCAGCACAAAAATGTTAAGAGTTTTCGGGTGCATGGTACAGTACCGACCCCCAGAGGCACGAGCGGGAAGATTTTCACAACGCGCACAGTGGGGACTACACCTCGGCATAAAAAAGAATTACAACGCGTGGAAAATCTTGGACGTCCACTCCAAGGAAACAGTAGCAGCACGTGATGTGATCTTCTACGAAAGACTCACGCTTCAGACGTACCTCGCCAACTTGCACGAGAATCAAGATCCCACAGGTGGCTTTCGTGGTGACCGAGCCTTCGCCTTAGCAGCGGACGAAGCAGACTGGGACAAGCAGACCATCGATAACGCATCAGAAGAAGCCGGACCTCTCCCGTTCTGCTCCGTCAACGTCCCCATGGACGAAGTAAATCCTCACGAAAGCGCCAACACCGAAGGCTTCTACCACTTCGCCGACAATGGTTATGTAACACCTGCGACAGTCAACACCAACGAAGCAGAAAGAATAGGGCCAAATTTCATACCCGACCCAGAAGCGGGAGATGAAGCAGCTTATCCCGAGGATACAACACTCCCTCGCTACTCACAGACTGGACTGCAGATTCTCGACCTCGTCACCACAGTCCATGGCAACGCTATTCCTAAAGAGCCTGCGACGGTTCAGCAGGCTCTGGGGGGGGAACACAGGGAAAAATGGCGTGAAGCCATGGACAGAGAGTTAAAGGCACTAGACGAACGTAACACCTGGAAAGTCGTTCCCGTTAGCGTGGCAAGGAACAAGACCATCCTCACCGGGAAATGGGTCTTCCGCATCAAAACGAAGGCAGACGGCACAATCGAGAAGTTCAAAGCACGCTGGGTCGTGCGTGGATTCGATCAGGAACACGGACGGGACTTCACCGAGACATTCGCCCCGGTTAGCCGACAGACTTCACTCCGAATCCTCCTCGCGATCGCCGCCATGAAGAAAAGAAAACTACGGCAAATCGATGTCGCTAACGCCTTCCTCTACGCACCCGTCGACGCCAAAATCTTCGTTGAACTTCCACATGGTACCCACGGGGAACCTAACCAAGTCTCTCTGTAACTAAAATTGCTCTACGGAATCAAACAAGCCCCGCGGCTGTGGCAACAGCATCTACACACCCGTCTCACTCGCATCGGATTCCGCCAACTGCCTCACGACCAAGGAATGTATCGATTCACCAAAAATGCCGACTATATCCTACTGATCGTCTACGTCGACGATTTGCTCTACATTGGCTCCACTGACGACGCCACTACCTGGTTCGAAGAAGAGCTGAAAAGGGACCTCACACTCACGGTCTCCTCTATCGTCACTCAGTATCTCGGACTCAACATCCGCGAAGAAGAGAACACGATCTACCTCAGCGCCGAAAAGTATGCCGACACTATCGCCAAACGCTTCGCGCTCACACCTGCTACTATCTCCATGCCATCCCGCTACACGGCACGGAACGACAAGGGAAGCTCCGCTTTATTCAAAACCGCCGGAATACGCGACTACCAGCGAAAGCTGGGCTGCCTCCTCTTCGCAGCTGTCACCTGCCGCCCAGATCTATCCTACTCCGCAAGTCAACTTGCTACCTATCTCAAAAGGCCCGAAACAAAACACCTGGCGGAACTCGACCGCGCTCTTCACTATTTCGTGAGCACCTCAACGATCGGCCTGACGAACAACGAGAACACAACTACGCCGACGAAACTAATCGGCTACGTCGACGCCGATCACACCGGCGACTCAGACAACAGGCGCTCCCACACTGGCTACATCTACCGCCTCGAACCTATTGGACCTATCTCCTGGCAATCGAGCAAGCAGGAACTAATTGCTCTCTCTTCAGCTGAAGCAGAATATATCGCCCTCTGCTCACCAACCAAGGAAGGACTCTACCTTTGCAAGCTGTTGGAAGAAGCTAAGTTAGCCGAGCTACCCAACTTCACCCTGTTCTGCGACAACCAATCTGCGATTCGCATCGCCAACAAAAGCGGATTCGCGTACAGAACGAAGCATATCGCTCTGCGATATTTCTTCGTGAAGGACGTGGGGAAAGTAGAACTAGAATGGAGTGAACTATGAATGGAAGTGATACAAATAAGCAACCCTAGCAATGTGTACCCCATATGGGCTACCCCACTATAGCCTACACAATATTATAATTTGACACACCCCCAAAAGCAAAGTGGGGGAGAACAAGGGGTCACAAGACCAGTCAAGCACAGCAAAGCAAAGCTCAGGGTGGATCACAACGTCACCACACAGTCCAAGAACAAGGTCAAGGCCAAAAGGCCAGTTCACATGCAGGAGTACACATAGATATAGAAGGCTAAACAAGCAAGAGCAGGTATATATATATAAGAGTACAAGCAAGGTCAAGAGGTGAGCAAGTGAGGCAAGACAGGTACAAGTCCCAGCTGAGTACAGAAGCGCTAATGTTCACAAGGCGGAAGTGCCTTGGTGAAAACATCAGCAGTATTGGCCTCAAAGGCCACGTACGCAAGTCGCAACTGACCACGCTGCTGCAGCTCACGAGCAAGAACATAACGGAGAGCAATGTGCTTCGTTCTGTGCTCCAAGCGCTGCTCTCGACACAAGGCCAGCATGGCCTTGTTGTCTACGTACAGCACTGGAGGAGAACGAGGCGGCTCTCCAAGGTCGGTCAGCAGGTAGGTGAGCCAGCGAAGCTCCTGTGCAGCCATGGCCCCGGCATAGATCTCGGCCTCACAACTGGAGCCGAGAACAGAAGACGAGCGAATAGCCCGCCACGAGACAGAGCCGGAACCAAGACTGAAGGTATAACCCTGGGACGACCGCAGAGTAGCCTGGTCGTCAGCCCAAGAAGCGTCCGCGTGCCCAGTGAGGACCACTGGACTCCGCCCTCCAAGCACTAGCCCCATGCCCGACATACTGCACAAGTAGCGCAACACCCTCTTCGCTGCAGCCATGTGCTCTGGTCTGTGTCTCCCAGGAGCAACATAGCGTGCAAGAATGCTAAGAGGGTATGCAAGGTCAGGTCGTGTGCAGGTCATCAGGTACATGAGGCAGCTAACAAGCTCTGGGTACGGGCCACTCGACTCTACGGATTCATCTGAAGGCAGAGCTGAGAGCGAGTGGCGAGTAGGCAGAGGAGTGGCCTGAGGCGAGGAGTACGTGAAGCCGAAGCGCTGAAGGACCTGTTGCACCATGTGTGACTGAGTCAAGGTAATGGTGCGGCGTGCTTTGTCCCGGGTGATCTGCAAGCCAAGGTAGCTGCGCAGTTCACCCAGGTTTTTGCACGTATGTCTCTTCTGCAGCTTCGACTTCACGTAGGCGAGTCCAGCAGTGTCAGCAGTGGCAAAGACCAAGTCGTGGACGTACACAAGGATGTAGAACCGGCAGAGAGGTTTCGGTGCGCAGAAACAACGACGGGTCAGCACTAGAGGGAGCAAACCCAAGAGTCGCAAGCGTAGTCCTCAGTGTGTCGTGCCACTCACGCAGTGCCTAGCGGAGACCGTAGACTGGCCGTCGGAGGCTCCACTGGGTGCCAGGAGGGAAAGTCCCAGTGAAGCCAGGTGGACGGCGCAGCCAGATCTCCTCGTGCAAGCTAACCTGCAAGAAAGCAAGGCTGAAGTCAAGAGAGTGAAGCTCGTAGTCGCGCTGAGCGGCTATGTGCAGCAGCACCCGGAGAGTGGTCATCTTCGGGGTGGGAGAGAAGGTCTGAAAGTAGTCAACTCCCTGCCGCTAACTGAAGCCACAAGCCACATACCGCGCCTTGAAGACAGGTGGAGAGCTCGGCGGCCGCTTCACCCTGAAGATCCTCATGCCATTGAGGATGTTCGCCCCAGGAGGGGGAACGGCGTCAACGTAGGTGCCTGTGGACTTCCAAGAAGCCATCTCTGCATCCATAGCTGCCTGCCACTGAGAGGATTAGGGACCCTCTACGGCCTCCGCGTAAGAGCGCGGAGTCGGGATGTCTAGTGCATCCAAGTCTCCCTCAGGGGCAAGTAGTACGGACGCAAGATGAGGTGAAGTAGCAGCCAGACACTGGAACTCCTCCTGCCTGTCCTCAAGGACGTCCGTGCCAAGAGCACACTCACCCTCGACGGACGGAGGACAGACAGACGCAGACTCAGCAACGAGACTAGCAGCGTAGTCTAGACGACAGTGAGCAGCAACGTCGACGAGCTCAACAACAAGAGCGAAACGAAGCAATGGACTCAAAGGAGGGGTCAATGACGACAGTAGCAAGGAGATGCGTGACAGTAGGACTGGCAGCACGAAGAGAGTCCGACTCCGGGTCGGCAAGCGTAGGAAGAGAGGACTCAGGAGGAGAAGGCAAAGGGGCACGCAGAGGAGCAGTGGACGGACGCAGAGACATCCGGTGCGTGCCAGGGACAGGAGGAGGACGCTGACGCGAACCGCGACCACTAGCGCGAGCAGCACGAACAGGCGACGCGGGACGAGACGCAGGCTCACGACGCTCAGCAAGACCTCCAGTAGGACCAGTGTAAGGAGAGGGAGCAGGCAGTGGGGAGGTAGGCTCCAACAGTGACTGCGACTGGACAGGCTGTGGACACTCTACAGGAGGAGAAAGACCAAGAACTTGCTATAGGAGCGGAACGAAGTACGGCCGAGGCCGCGCGGCAACTCCAGACTTAGCAGGTACAGCACCAGCACCCTTAGCGGCAGCACCAGCACCACCAACACCTCCAGCGGCAGGATCTCCAGCAGCACCAGCAGCAGGATCACCGCCAGGACAGACAGCAGTAGTTTCAGCACCAACACCCTCAGCAGCTCCAGCTCCAGCAGCACGCCTCCAGCGGTGAGCAAACCACTCGCGCAGCTCCTGTGGATAGAGGGGCTCCCGCCGAGACGGAGCACCAAGAGAAACCCCAGGCTCAGCAGCTCCAGGCGCAGTACCCCCATACTTAGCACCTCCAGGCTCAGCAGCTCCAGACGCAGCACCCCCAGGCTCAGCAGCTCCAGACTCAGCACCCACAGACTCAGCAAGCCCTAGCTGAGCAGCTCCAGGTACAGCACCCCCCGGACCCAGCACCCCCAGGCTCAGCATCCTCAGCAGTAGCACCCCCAGGCTCAGCACCCCCAGTAGCAGCACCTCCAGGCTTGGCACCCCCAGGCTCAGCACCCCCGCGCACAACACCCCCAGAGTCAGCACCCCCAGGCTCAGCACCCGCAGCAGCACTAGAGTCACCAGTAACCTCGACCGGGTCAACGGCGTCTACCTGGGACACACCTGAGGGGGCAGGAACCTGAGGGGGGAGGGGGTCTACCGGGGGGGAACCGGCACAAGGAAGTCCGGTGGCGGGGGGAGGGAAGGAGTGCGGTAGGGGAAGAGGGGGTAGAAGGGGACTGACTCGTCGAACGTGACGTCCTGGGAGGACAAAACACGACGAGAGGAGGGGTGGTAGAACTGCCACCCTGGTGCGTCAGGGGGGAAGCCAAGGAAGACAGAGGGAGCAGCACGAGGGGACACCTTGTCCGCAGACAAGTCGCGCACAAACGCCCGAGATCCCCAGACACGGAACGCAGACGCATCGCCGACCTTCCCCGTCCACAGCAAAGGTTGGGAGGTCTCCGGCCGGGAGACCCTGGGGTGAAGGTTGATCTGATGCACCGCCTACCGAACCGCAAATGGCCACAGAAAATGGGGGGCAGCAGCATGCATTATGGACGTACGAGCGACGTCCATGACCATGCCAATGCGGCGCTCAGCAATCCCATTTTGCTGTGGAGAGTCCGGAAGCGTAAAGGTCTGGCGGATGCCTCACGCACGACAGTAGGCTCGCAAAAGGCCAGAGGAGAACTCTCTGCCTCGGTCAGAGTGCAGACGCAGAACAGGAAAGTCCGAGCCGAAGCTCCTCCTGAGCTGGAGACGAGCTGCGCGGATCTAGTCGATCAACACCTCAGTGACATCACCCTTGCTGCGCAAGGGGAAGATGGTGGTGTAACGCGAGTAGTCGTCAACCACCAGCAGGAAGTAGCGCTCGTGACCTTGCCCACGGACGCGGGCCGGGCCCCACACGTCCATGTGAAGCGTCTGCAGCGGAGCCTCTGTCGCGGGAAACTGAGAGGAGTGAGGAGCAGCTCGGAGCCGCCCCTCGACACAAGGGACACAGGAAGGACCAGGCCCCGAAGGAAGGGGAGGGAGGGACTGGGGAAGACCAGAGACAAGGACACGGGAAGCCATGCCCCGAAGATGAGGCAGGGAGGGGTGGCCAAGACGGTGGTGCCACAGGAGAGTCTCGTAAGACAGGAGGCGACACGAGCAGGGGGCAGACTCAGGACCAGACCTGGACGCCGCAGCAAACACCTGACCCGACGCAGCTACCTGGCCAAACGCAGGGACAGGAGGAGACTCTATGGTCAGGGTGTAGAGGCTGGACCCCGGCCGACGCAAAAACGTGGCCAGGTGTCGGCCTGTGCGGGCGTCCGAGCAGTGGGTCACCCGCTAACTTGCAGGAGTAAACTGGTGAACCCCCGCATCCTGCAGGTCCGCACCACTCACCAAGTTTGTCGAGAACGAGGTGAGGTAAAGACCAAACAAGGTGCTAGAGGGGGCACCAGGACACCGGAGGACAGTGGAGAAGTGAGAGAGGACTGGACCCCCAGAGGGGTCAGCAAGGGAGACAGCAACCGGCCGACCAAGCGGCGTGAGTGTGGTGCGGTCTCCAAAGAAGGAGCGAGAAGCCCCCGAGTGAAGTGTGAAGGTGAGGGAGGCCGAAGCCGACGCGGTACCTGAGAGCGCAGCCTCACTAGTACCCGAAGGCGCAGACGCGCTGGCACCTAGAGCAGCAGCCTCACTCGCACCTAGCGCAGCAGTACCAATGCCCGGGTCTGGCGGGAAACACCGGTAAAAGTCACCCTCATCACTAATAGTCACAGCATACATGGCAGCAAGGATAGCATCAAAGTCAAGATCATAGATAGCTACACCTGCCCTAGACAGCTCTCCCCAGCGGGGGATCTCACTAGCCTCGGGGAACTGCTGACGCCAAGCGTCCTTCAAGCGGCCAAAGCAGCGCTGGGTGGGGTGGGCACCCCCACACTGCTCACCCGCGCGTTCGCCAGAGCAAACGACGTAGGCGCACGGACCAAAACCCCCACCACGCTGACGCTGTGTGTACCACTCACGGAGCTGCTGAGGAGTGGGGATGTCCCAAGAACGCTGCTGCTGCTGCTCCTGCTGGCGCTGACCACCACCAGAACCGCTCCGCTGCGAGGCACCACCCCGAACAGCTCCACCTCCTCCACCACTGCCGCCTCCACCTCCGCCACCTCTGCCGCCTCCGCTCCTACCGCTACCGTCGTCGCCGCCTCCGCCTCCGCTGCTCCCACCACCACCTCCACCACCACCACCACTCCCACCGCCACCCCCACTCCCTCCGCTGCCTCCACCGCCACCTCCACCACCCCCGCTAGCTCCATCGACGCCCTTGCCTCCCTTGCCCTTGCCAGAGCGGCGTCTCCCGCTAGGGGCAGACGCCGCACCGACCGACTCAAGACCAACGAGGTCGGCCGCAGCAGCAGAGGCGACAGAGGGCAAAGGGGGGGAAGGGGAACACCCCTCAAAGATGGGGGTGCGAGGGTCACCACGAGAGGCTCCTACAGCGACTATGCTCTTCTTCGCTGCTAGGAGGGCCTTCTCTAGGAGGTCAACAGTGAGAGTGGTGGGACAGATTGAGAGGAAGTGGTCCCTGACTACGCGAAGGGAGCCAGGGATGCGGGTGACTATGTAATAGAGAGTGATGTACATGGGGGGGGGGGGGGGGGGGGGGGTTCTTGGCGCAGAACTCAGCAGGATGCGCGGCGCGGTAGCGAGTGTCACTAGTGCGGAGGTGCGTAATGAGGTCAGCGACTGTGGGAAAGACAGCAAGGTCAGGGAAGAGGTACGGTAGTATGAGGCGGCTCAGTGCAGTAGTGGCAGGGGAAGTGTAGCGCTCAACTACAGCGTCGTACAAGGTCTGAGCACTCTTGTACTGACCAAAGTGCGCGCGCTCAGTAGTTGGAAGGTGGCGACGCACAGCAAGACGTGCAGCAGCATCGCGCGTGGCCCACTGGGAGCGAACAGTGGGGTCAGCATTAGCAACAGGGGCAGGAGAGGCGCCTGAGGTGAGGTCAAAAAGAGAGAGGCCGTCCGCCCTATCGCACTGTAAGAACAGCTGCATGTCGTCGACCAAGACCTCAAAGTCAATGGCTCGACCCTCAGCGTCAAAAGCGAGGACACTAGGGGTAGCCATGACAACAGTAGACCAGCAGTGCAAGTAGTAGGGGAAGGGCATGCAGTGACAAAGGGGCCGTGCTCACCGGACAGGGCTGCTCGGGCGGCTCGGCGGCTCGGCGGCTCGACTGCTAGGCGGCTCGGCTGCACGGCGGCTCGGCTGGTGGGCGGCCGGGCGGCTCGGGTGCAGTGCGGCTCGGCGGCAGGGTGGCTCGGCGGCGGGGCGGCTCGGCTGTTCTGCTGCTGGGCTGCTCGGTTGTGCTGCTGCAGGGCGGCGCGGCCTTGGGCAGCTCGGCAGGGCGAGGCGGCACGGGCGGCTCGGGCGGCGCTTTAGGAGTTGAGAGCGACGAAGCCGCTGAGAAGGGCGACGGGGCCGCAGCTGACGGGCGGCGGGGCCGCAGAAGAAGGGCTGCAGGGGCCGCTGAGTAGGGCGGCAGGGCCGCTGAGTAGGGCGGCGGGGCGGCAGGAGCAGGGTGGCGGGGCGGCTGAGTAGGGAGGCGGGGCCGCAGGAGCAGGGCGGCTGGGCCGCTGAGTAGGGCGGCGGGGCCGCAGGAGCAGGGCCGCGGGGCCGCTGAGAAGGGCGGCGGGGCCGCCGAGTAGGGCGGCGGGGTCGTAGGAGAAGGGCGGCGGGGCCGCTGAGTAGGGCGGCGGGGCCGCAGGAGCAGGGCGGCGGGGCCGCTGAGTAGGGCGGTGGGGGCGCAGGAGAAGGGTGGCGGGGCCGCTGTAGAAGGGCGATGGGGCCGCGAATGCGGGCGGCAGGGCCGCGCTAGCGGGCGGCGGGGCCGCGAATGCGGGCGGCGGGGCCGCGAATGCGGGCGGCGGGGCCGCGCTAACGGGCTGCGGGGATTCACTAACAGGCGGCGGGGCCGCTAGGGCGTAGGGGGCCGCTAGGGCGGCTCGACGAGGTGAGAGCCCGGAGAGCAACTCGGGCGGAGCGCGCTTCGGGCAGGAAAAAAAACTCGATGTGGTGGGCCCTAGGCACAGTTCCCACGGGGAACCTGCTCGATACCATGAGGAAAGTAGAACGAGAATGGAGTGAACTATGAATGGAAGAGATACAAATATGCAACCCTAGCAATGTGTACCCCATATGGGCTACCCCACTATAGCCCACACAATATTGTAATTTGACAGGACGAGATCGAGAAAGGGAAACTCAAACTATCCTACTGTCCCACGTCCGAGATGGCAGCTGACTACTTCACCAAGAAGCTCGGAAAATAGAAGTTCGAGTACTACATGCTGCTGTCTGGACAAAGCCACGTCACCATCAGCGAAGGGGAGTGTTGGGAACAAATATTTTAAGCGCCTCTGTCGTGTCGAAACATCAAGACACAAGCGAAGCAGCTCAAATCGAAGCACCGCGAGTCAACCCTCAGAGGTTAACGTAACCGCTGGAGGTTACAAGAAAGTCAAAGGTCAGTGACCTTTTACCTGACGCAGCGCGACAGCAAGGACACACAACTAACTCGACATTGAGCAGTTGCCCGAGTCGCACTGTATCGAAGCGCAACAGTAAAACAGTTACAATTATGTCTCTTCATATTCTCTGTATTCTGTGAAAAGGAATGAACAGGAATGGATTGACTAAGTCAGAGTTGGGTACAAATACAACCCTAGCAAACTGTACCCCATATGTGCTACCCCACTATGGCCTACAAACATGCATCAGCTATAATAATCTGACACACCCCCATAGGCAAAGTGGGGGAGAACAAGGGGTCACAAGACCAGTCAAGCAAAGCAAAGCAAGCTCAGGGTGGATCACAAAGTCACCACACAGTCCGAGCACAAGAGCAAGGCCAGAGGCCAGTTCACATGCAGGAGTACAGACATATATATAAAACTAGACAAGCAAGAGCAGGTATATATATGTCAAAGTACAAGTAAAGTCAAGAAGAGAGCAAGTGAGGCAAGACAGGTACAAGACCCAGCTGGGTACAAAAGCGCTGATGGTCGCAAGGCGCAAGTGCCTTGGTGAACACATCAGCAGTGTTGGCCTCAGAGGCCACGTAAGCAAGTCGCAACTGACCACGCTGCTGCAGCTCACGAGCAAGGAAGTAGCGGAGAGCAATGTGCTTTGTTCTGTGCTCCAAGCGCTGCTCTCGACACAAGGCCAACATGGCCTTGTTGTCTACGTACAGCACTGGAGGAGAACGAGGCAGCTCTCCAAGGTCAGTCAGCAGGTAGGTGAGCCAGCGAAGCTCCTGTGCAGCCATGGCCCCGGCGTAGATCTCAGCCTCACAACTGGAGCCGAGAACCGAAGACGAGCGAGTAGACCGCCACGAGACAGAGCCGGAACCAAGGCTGAAGGTGTAACCCTGTGACGACCGCTGCGTAGCCTGGTCGTCAGCCCAAGAAGCGTCTGCGTGCCCAGTAAGGACCACTGGACTCCGCCCTCCAAGCACTAGCCCCATGCCCGACGTACTGCACAGGTAGCGCAATACCCTCTTCGCTGCAGCCATGTGCTCTGGTCGGTGTCTCCCAGGAGCAACATAGCGTGCAAGGATGCTCAGAGGGTATGCAAGGTCAGGTCGTGTGCAGGTCATCAGGTACATGAGGCAGCCAACAAGCTCTGCATACGGACCACTCGACTCTACGGACTCATCCGAAGGCAGAGCTGAGAGTGAGTGGCGAGTAGGCAGAGGAGTGGCCTGAGGCGAGGAGTACGTGAAGCCAAAGCGCTGAAGGACCTGCTGCACCATGTGTGACTGAGTCAGGGTAATGGTGCGGCGTGCTCTGTCCCGAGTGATCTGCAAGCCAAGGTAGCTGCGCAGTTCACCCAGGTCTGTGCACGTGTGTCTCTTCAGCAGCTCGGACTTCACGTAGGCGAGTCCAGCAGTGTCCGCTGTGGCAAAGACCAAGTCGTCGACGTACACGAGGATGTAGAACGGCGGCAGGGAAGTGTCGGTGCGAAGAAACAGCGACGGGTCAGCAGTAGAAGGAGCAAACCCAAGAGCCGCAAGCGTAGTCCTCAGTGTGTCGTGCCACTCACGCGGTGCCTGGCGGAGACCGTAGACTGGCCGTCGGAGGCTCCACTGGGTGCCAGGAGGGAAAGTCCCAGTGAAGCCAGGCGGACGGCGCAGCCAGATCTCCTCGTGCAGGCTACCCTGCAGGAACGCAGTGCTGAAGTCGAGAGAGTGAAGCTCGTAGTCGCGCTGAGCGGCAATGTGCAGCAGCACCCGAAGAGTGGTCATCTTCGGGGTGGGAGAGAAGGTCTGAAAGTAGTCAACTCCCTGCCGCTGACTGAAGCCACGAGCCACGTAACGCGCCTTGAAGACAGGCGGCGAGCCCGGCGGCCGCTTCACCCTGAAGATCCACATGCCACTGACGATGTTCGCCCCAGGAGGGGGAACCGCGTCAACGTAGGTGCCTGTGGACTTCCAGGAAGCCATCTCTGCATCCATAGCTGCCTGCCACTGAGAGGAGTAGGGACCCTCTACGGCCTCCGCGTAAGAACGCGGAGTCGGGATGTCTAGTGCATCCGGGTCTCCCTCAGGGGCTAGCAGTACAGACGCGAGACGAGGTGAAGCAGCGGCTAGACACTGGAACTCCTCCTGCCTGTCCTCTAGGACGTCCGTGCCAAGGGCACACTCACCCCCGACGGACGGAGGACAGGCGGACTCTGACTCAGCGACAAGACGAGCAGCGTAGTCTAGACGACAGCGCGCAGCAAAGTCGACAAGCTCAGTGACAAGGGCAGACGCAGCAGACGACGCGAAGGAAGGGTCAGTGACAGCAGTAGCAAGGAGACGCGTGACAGTAGGACTGGCAGCACGAAGAGAGTCCGACTCCGGGTCGGCAAGAGCAGGAAGAGAGGAAGCAGGAGGAGAAGGCAAAGGGGCACGCAGAGGGGCAGTGGACGGACGCAGTGACATCCGGTGCGTGCCAGGGACAGGAGGAGGACGCTGACGCGACCCGCGACCACTAGCGCGCTCAGTACGAACAGGCGACGCAGGACGAGACGCAGGCTCACGACGCTCAGTAAGGCCTCCAGTCGGACCAGCGTAGGGAGAAGGAGCAGGCAAAGGGGAGGCAGGCTCTAGCTGTGGCTGTGACCGGACAGGCTGCGGACCCTCTAAGGGAGGAGGAGGAGGAGCAAGACCAAGAACCTGCTCCAGGAGCGGAACGAAGTACGGTCGAGACCGCGCGGCGACGCCAGAAACAGCAGGAACAGAACCAGCAGCTCCGGCCGGAGCACCCACTCCAGCAGCACCTCCAGCAGAACCACCAGAAGCTCCAGAACCTCCAGCAGCAGCACCAGGAGCACCGTCAGTCGGACTACCAACCGCAGGCTCAGCGCCAACGTCCTCAGCAGGACCAGCTCCAGGAGAACCCTCAGACCCAGCAGCTCCAGCACCCACAGGACGAGCACCGCCAGGTCGCGTGGCAGCAGCGCCCTCCGCAGCCGAAGAACCACCAGCACCAGCGGCACGCCTCCAGCGCCGGGCAAACCACTCACGCAGCTCCTGTGGAGAGAGCGGCTCCCGGCGAGACGAAGCACCCCCAGGCACAGCACCTCCAGGCTCGGCACCTCCAGGCTCAGCACCCCCAGGCTCAGCACCCCCAGGCTCAGTACCCCCAGACACAGCACCCCCAGGCTCAGCACCCCCAGGCCCAGCACCCCCAGACTCCGCACCCCCAGGCTCAGCACCCCCAGGCTCAGCACCCCGAGACTCCGCACCCCCAGGCTCAGCTCCCGCAGCAGCACCGGAGTCACCAGTGACCTCGACAGGCTCGACCGCGTCTACCTGAGACACACCTGAAGGGGCAGGACCCTGAGGGGGGAGGGGGACTACTGGGGGGGGGACCTGGTACCAAGAAGAGCGGGGGTGGGGGGAGGGACGGAGTGCGGTAGGGGAAGAGGCGGTAGTAGGGTACCGACTCGTCGAACGTGACGTCCTGGGAGGACAGAACACGTCGAGAGGTGGGGTGGTAAAACTGCCACCCAGGGGCGTCGGGGGGGAACCCGAGGAAGACGCAGGGAGAAGCACGAGGGGACAGCTTGTCCGCAGACAGGTCGCGGACAAACGCCCGAGATCCCCAGACCCGGAACGCCGA